ACTTACCCTACGAGAAGTTAATAAATAAAATAAACGGCTTGGATGATCGTCGCACAAAACTGATAAAAGCAAGACCTTATCGAGTTACATCGAACGGCCTTTAAATTTTTGAAATCGGCCCTGTCGTTTTTGAGAAATCGTCGATTTAAGGTAAAAATGTGTTCACACACACATACAAATACACAAACCTTTTCCAAATTTGCTCTCATTCGATTCAGAATGTCTTGAAACGTCGAGAAAACATAAAATTAGCGAATCGGATTTTCTCGGCGTTTTTTAAAATATCATTGAATAACTTACAGCTCTCTTATATGGATCCGAAGCATTTCTTATATGTCTTCTGTAATGAAGTCTCAGAGCATTTTCTAATGCACTGCTCACTCTTTGATCAGGTTTCCTTATACGTTCAGCCAGTACTTGTATGAAGTCTTCATTACCAGAACTGAAAAATAATTAACTAGATATAAGTTATATTCGATATATATAAAACTGTCTACATATACAAAACCGCGTTTAATCAGTAGTCGGTTATCATCAGAGTACTGCATTGTAGGAAAGTTATCTGTATGTTCTCTCTTTTGGGAAGTTAATAAATAATTCTACAAATTCAATTATCCCTACCCTGAATTCTGCAAGCATTGTTGTGCAGCTTGCAAATCTCCAGCACGCAAGCAATAATAAACCATAGGCCACAAAGGCCTGCCGTTCACATCACCGTCTTGCAATCCTTGCATATTGCCAGCTTCTGATTGCATTCGTAAACTAACAAAAGCTCTAACCAAGGAATAAGTTCCTGGCTCGCCGCCTCTTTGTGCCAGAGCTAAATTTTGGGAGACACAGGAGTTCATGTAATTCACATACCTAAAATAATAAATATAATTATATGTACCTATATATATATATATATATATATATATATATATATATATTTATTTATTTATTTATTTGTTTACCTATCTTCTAAATATTTTTTAGCCTGTTTCACAATAGCATTTTCATAATCCACTCGAGATTTAATAGGATCCTCAGTGTGAGGCAGAGGTGAAAATTCTGTGATATATCGTAATATATGCCATAAGTTAGCAACTCGCTAAAAAAAATTACAAGCAACAAATTAAAACATCTATTCAAGTCCGAATAAATTTATTTCTGTTATTATTATGTACTTACAGTATCTGAAAATTTGTTGGCTAAATTTGCAAACTTTTGCACCAAATGTGGTCTCATAGCACCTTGCACAACTAATTTATTGTAATCAGTAATCTGTAATTAAATCAGAAGTAGTAAATTATATAAACTTATATTCCTATCTTAATCTTAATTATAAATTCATTTATCTCACCTCCTTTGCATAAGCCATTTCTTTATTATCCAAATTACTCGGTTGACCAGAAGTTGGTGCTGTGTCTGGAACGACTGTGTGTCTGGCTACGCTCTTATTTAAGTCTAGCCAATTTTGTGAAGGACCTATTAAGGCTCCCATAAGTTTACATTTTTCCTGACGCCATTCACTTAGTACATGATCCCAGCGACTTTTTTCAACATCTTTGAATGACTGGAAAAGAATAAAAAGAATAATAAATAATAATAATTCTCAAATCTAAATTATTATTATTATTATATTATTACATATTTCATGGATGATATTTTACAAACAAAATCTATAAAATGCTTAGTTTACTAACTATATCATCGATTCCAAAATGTATTAATACTTACGTTTTTGTGAACTTCTTCAATAACAGACAATATAGCATTTTCCTTCTCATTTCTTAAGAAACTTTGAATATCTGTATCGGCTACTGGATCTAAAGGTTCTAGTGTTCTTTGCGAACTCAATGAATGTAACTTTTGTGAAATTTCTGTTAAATCGACACCTTTTGATCCAAGCAACAGATGTCTAAAATAATAAAAAAATTTAAGGTTAATTGGTAAAAGATATAGAAAACATCCTTGTTTCAAATAAATGGTATTGTTCTTCAAGTAATATGTCTAATATATAGGCTTGAAAGTAAGATTTAAAAATAAAATGAATGTATTGTAATAAATTGTGACGATAAATGAGATTTAAGTGTACAAGAATACATTTAGAATAAAGCAACATAAATGATATTGCTCTTGGACAATTTGCTTAAAATGTACATAATATATTTTTATTATATTTTTTTCTCTACTAACGCTTGGACATCTTGTGTGCCTTCCTGAGCAAGTCTAGAATGCAATTCTTGCGAAGCCTCCAAGACTTGTCCCAAAGATCTTTCGACCCGAGGCAAATGTCTCGATTCTCCTGTGCCACCAACTAATTGTTCGGCGGCATGTAAAATTGAACTAAAATCTGATAAATCTGATGAATCCATGTTAAATATAAAAAATCAAACTTGAAACAAGACACTGGATAAGATATGATAATTATAGCATATTCTCACAAAAACTTGATTTGTTATCAAGTGTGGTACTGTTTTATTGTGCTATTTTTGCATAAAATGTGTGAGTTGAAGAAATATTATGAAAATAACTCTTTGTGACATTTATATTTTGTTCGCGCCGCTAACATAACCTTACTTTTACCAACGAAACATTAGGGTGATGGCACACGTGCAATTAATAGTCATCAAAATGATAAAAATGAAAATAATGATTTTCAAATCTGATATTCAAATAAATTAGCAATAATTTGTTATGTGGTTTTAAATTTTTTTATAAAAATTGTGTTTAAAAATGCTTTTATTAAATAATTAAGCTTTTGTAGCAGTAGTAATAGAAAAAATAGGTTGATGAATATGCGTTTACGTCCTAATATTTCGATTACGTTGGCCAACCTGCGCAGACTGGTTCTCCAAATACAACGTGTCAAAAATTGACATTACTGCCATTTATTAGTAAAGTATTTAAATATATGTATTTTTTGAGTTTTATATAAAATAATTTAATAAAAGTGTATGGTTTGTGTTTTTTTAATAAAAACAAATCCATACAATGGCTACTCCGAAAGAAAATAATATCAGATCAGGTTATATAGAATTAAATAAATATGGTCAGAGTGGAGATTATGAAAAGGCTTTGAAAGCTGCTAACAAAAGTTAGTAGAATTTGAATCATCGATTTAATTTACATGACAATATATATATATATATATATATATATATATATATATATATGATTTATTTTATTATTGTTTCAGTTCTTCAACTTGCCCCAGATGAGTCAAAAGCTTTCCAGTGCAAAATCGTATCACTTATACAATTATCTAAATTCAATGATGCCCATAAAGCATTATCTACAATCTCTAAGCCTTCTCCAGAATTAATTTTCTACAAAGCTTACTGCGAATATCGTCTCAATAAGCCTCAAGATGCATTGACGACAGTAGATTCTGCAGGAAGTCTGACGCCTGAGTTAAAAGAACTCAGAGCACAGATTTTGTACCGGTTGGAAAATTATAACGAGTGTTTGAGTGTTTATAGAGATATTGTTAAAAATACTAATGATGATTATGAAGATGAAAGGGCTACTAATATGTCTGCTGTTATTGCTAATATGTATACTGAAAACCCAGTAAGAGTAATAGATTTATATTAAAACTGTGATAACAATGTTTTTATAAAAATTATTTTTTAGGATAAAGCTCCTTTAACACAGCCTCAGTCTGAGCATACGTATGAATTATGTTATAACGTAGCTTGCATGTTGGTTGGACAAATGAAGTACAAAGAGGCTGAAATAAAATTGATTGCTTGTCAAGAACAATGCAAGAAGATGCTTGAGGAAGATGGAGCGTCTGAAGAGGACATACTGGAAGAACTTGCAATATTAAAGTAAGAAGATTATAAAATTATAGTATTGATAACATACTATAAGCCTTTATTTATTTATATCGTTCTTCTTTAGGGTTCAACAAGCCTATTGTCAACAACAGCTAGGTCGTATTGCAGAGGCTACAGTATTATATAATGAGGCGTTACGTCATAAAGCAAGTGATGCTTCTCTAGTTGCTGTTGCTGGTAATAATTTGACTGCTATCAATGGAGATCAAAATGTATTTGATTCTAAAAAAAAGATGAAAGCTGCCACGTCTGATGCTGCCCAACAAAAATTGAATTACAGACAAAGAAAGACTATAGCGTCGAATAATGCTTTACTTTCCTTGTACACTAATCAAGTAATAACAATAATCAAAAATATAAAATATTATAATATATATATATATATATATAATATATATATATATATATATATATATATATATATATATATTATATATATATATATATATTTATATATATTTAAAAAAACTTAATATAAATTAGATAAAGGAATATTTTTCCATGAACCCAGCCTAACTTTTGCAAACATAAAATAATTAGTTTATAATGAACTTTTGTTCTAAATATTTTTGTCTAACTTTCTATTATTTTCCAGAGTGAATTATGCAAACAGTTGTGTTCACATTTAAACAAAACATATCCATCAGAAGTTTTAAATTCTGAGCTCATCAAAGCTAGTTTATTAGCTAAAGAGAATAACATAGCACAGGCTACGAGTGGTTTACAAGCGCATGCTAAAAAATATCCTGAAGAAGCACTTGCTGCAAGATTGGCTTGCGTTCAATTATTATTATCTCATGTAAGCAGCATTTAGATAATAAAATCAGAGCAATTGTTATTGTAATATATATAGTTGTACTTTACTATTATTTAGGGTGATCGTGCAGAAGCAATTAAGCAATTGAAGAATCTTGATGCAACAAGATTTAAACCGGGAATTGTATCTGCGCTGGTAACTTTGTTGCAAGGAGAAGGAAGAATTAATGAGGCCTCACAAATTTTGAAAGAAGCTGTTGAATGGTATAAGAAGAACAAGGTAGGTAGTACCTTTAATTATATGTATATACTAGATGACCCGACAGACGTCCTGTACCCGCGCCTATAATTGTTCAATATCCTATACTAATAATTAATAATACATCAATATCAATATACATCAATATGAGTGATGTTAAATGTAGAACAACTGCTTTAAATAAAATATGAGTCTCAATTCCCACACTATATTGAAAATTGAAGACTTTTAAACGGTATAACAAATTCAAAAAAATTAATATCTAGTATCCGCGGTAAAGGTACAATATCACCTTGGATTTTTCCACCCAAAATGATTGCTCCAATAATGTTGCCTATAATTTTTAAAATCTCGTATCATATTTTAAATGGTTTTTAGTAATTATAATATCTAAATTATATTTTTCTTAGTAATAATTTAATATACATTATTACCAGGAATGCTCCTGGGGTCCTTAGCGCTCACATGCTTTTTTTTCTAGCACCCCCTGCCTATTATTTTATCTGTTTTAACAGTTTTTTATTAAAATGATATTATAAGGGCCGAATTGTATGTATTCATCTTTACTTCCCCATTTGTTGTTTTAAAGTGAAATTTTTAACGTATTTTAAAAATATGCAAAGATTAGTAAAAGATGCAAAGAAATTATGTATTTCTTGAATGATATTAAAAATAAACTATATTTAAAATTTCATATCCGAATCTTGTGTTTTCGTCCTCTAAGCCGGCCCTGATTATTACTTTATTTCATATTTTGAATAAATTAATTTGTCAAATCCTGTTCGTATGTGTATCATTCAATCTGCTAACATATACTGTATTTTATATTATTTTAATTTCTGGCACATCTCAGCTGCTTTTTGGCAATAATAATGTATACATTTCATTTTTCTTATTCATAATCATGAATTCATTATACATATTCTAATATTGTCTAGGCTCATAAGTAAATTGAAATTTTTGGCAGATGACAGTTTTTATTTGTTTTCAGTGCCAAACAATATCTCAAATATTTTCAATGACATATCGTTTTTTGCATTTTTTTTCATCTATTTCTACAATATTACTATATTTTTATAATCCTAAAAAAATCCCTTAACAAACTTCAGAAAGATTTATCACAATCCGAACAATCGTTTAGGAGGAGCATATATACATACATCATTACAGAAGAATTTTATATATAAGATATGATATTTACTAATATTAAAATAATTCTATTTACTTCTTTGTAGGAAAGTGCAGGTGATTTAGAAAGCATGTGGAGACAAGCTGCTGATTTCCATCTTCGTGGCGGAGAACCAGAGACTGCAGCTTCTAGTTTGGAGCAACTATTGAAAATCAATCCAAATGATGTTAAAACGTTGGCTAGATTAGTAGTTGCTTATGTGCAATTTGATGCTGGTAAAGCATTTAAGGTATATATACAGTTTAACGCTATTGTTTTGATCACAAAATAATATTTTGTATGTATTTTTAGGCTAGTCAAAGACTGCCAACTCTAGGTCTTTCTGATAACGATTTGGAAACTTTGGAAAATACCAATTGGGCTATGGGTTCCAAAAATAAGAAGCCGGTATCACGGGTTGAAGCATCACCGGGGTAAAGACTTACTAGAATTATATTATTTATTTATTTTACAAGCCATCAATATAATGATATAATAAGTTTATTAACTATTAAATATTATATTACTTATTCATTTAATTTATTAACTTCCCGTAGGGTAAGTTATTGTAATGGGCCGAAAATCGGAATTGAAAATTTTTACATTTCTCGACGTTTTGAAGGTTTCTGAACATTTTGACATACCTCAGAAAAAATGGATGTGTGTGTGTGTATGTATGTATGTATGGATACAAATTTTCGCCCACGTTTTCGGGCGTACGGATCAACCGATTTGAATGGTTTAAAAAACATTCGATTCCTATTGATAGGGAGATGGGCTTATTAGTTTTTGGCAAAGGCAGGTCCAGCAGGTACGGAGATAAGGAGCAAAGAGTGCGGAAAGTAGAAATCGAGTTTTTGAGAGAACGGAGCATCCGATTTGAATGATCTAAAAAACATTCAATTAGTAATGATTGGGAGAAGGGGTTATTAGTTTGTCGCAAAGGCAGGCCCAGCCATTTCGGAGATACAGAGCTAAATGTACAAAAAATAGCAGTTTTTGAGAGAACTAAGCGTCCGATTCAATTGATTGAAAGAACTTTCTGCTTGTCTTAACAAAATAATCGATTTTGGAAAAAAAAATTTGTCCCATTTCTTTTTTTCTTTTTTTTTTAATTTTTTGTATATCGAAAATAATTCAGATTTTATTTTTAATTCTGACTATAGTTCTAATATACTTTAAACAAATAATTTCAACTCTGCAATTCAGATTATATAATTCTTATAAATATTAGACAATGTTACAATATTTATAATAATCTATTTGAAAACATTCAATATTCCTCGAATATTTCGTTACGGTACGGGAAGTTCCAGCAATTTGCCTTAAGGCAGGATGCCACCCACCCCACTAGTTTACTATAAACTTATTTATATTCAGTTAATTTTAATTATTTTTCAATATAAATAGTTTGTTTGTTGCAAGTATTTTTTAACAATTTAATAAGTATTTTAATATTTACAATATAATTATATTGTTTAACAAATTTTAGGTTATTTTATGATCTTTTAACAAATTTATAAGTGTCTTATATTATAATTATTATTTTTCCAAACAAATTGATAAGTATTTTTACAATATAAGTATTTTTTTTACAAATTTTTAGGTATTTTATTGAAAGAAATATTTTGTTTCAATTTTTTTTAAGTGTTTTTAAATTATAAGTTTTTAGTTAACTAATTAATTATTTATAATATAAAAATAAAAATAATAAAATTATTTTAGAAGCATATTTGCAACCGAAGTATTTAGTTTAACAAATTATGTTTATAAATATATTCCAATCTTTTCCAGAACTCCTGGTACTGAACTGCTGCAAAAAAGCAAAACCAAGAAAAACCGCAAAAGGAAAGGAAAACTACCTAAAAATTATGATGCCAGTCAAACACCTGACCCGGAACGTTGGTTACCAAAACATGAACGGACAGGTTTCAGGAAGAAGAGAGACAGGAGGACTAGAGATATTATTAAAGGTTCTCAGGGTATGGCTACTGGTGCAGCTGATCAATAGTAAGTGTTATGGAAATACTCAAACATGTATTTATATGTTTAACTCGATATTTTATTATTATTTTTTTCTTTAGCGATATGACCAAAGCACAGAATTTGCAAAACAAAAATTCTCCTGTGCCACAAACAACCCCTGATGCCCAGGGACCAAGGCAGCAGCAACGTAAAGTTACCCAGAAGAAGAAAAAGAAGGGTAACAAATGGTAACATGAAAAATTTGGAAAAAAACAGTGAAAAAATCTTTCATTTTTGTAAAGTTTTAAGGAAAATAAAAGGTATGTTATAAGCTTTTGTTTTTACTTATTTTATACATTTCAGAAATAGACAAATTTTCAGCTTACATGTAAATTTGTCAAAAACTGGTGGTGTATGAAATCGTGCCTTAAGGCAAATTCCTTGAACTTCTCGTACTAAAAATTAAATTTCTTAAAAAAGATTAAATTTGTTTTAAACATTGAAAAAATTAGATTTTTGAGGAATTTTAAATTTTTGAGAAAAAATAACTTTTTTAAAAAAGATTCAATTTGTTTTAAACTTTGAAAAAATCAGATTTGAGAAATTTTAAATTTTTGAGATAAAATAACTTTTTTAAAAAAGATTGAATTTGTTTTAAACTTTGAAAAAATTAGATTTTTGAGAAAACATAACTTTTTTAAAAAAGATTCAGTTTGTTTTAAACTTTGAAAAAAATAGATTATTGATAAATTTTAAATTTTTGAGAAAAAATAACTTTTTAAAAAAGATTCAATTTGTTTTAAACTTTGAAAAAAATAGATTTTTGAGAAATTTTAAATTTTTGAAAAAAAAAATATAACTTTTTTAAAAAAGATTCAATTTGTTTTAAATATTGCAAAAATTTGATTTTTGAGAAAATTTTAATTTTTTGAGTAAAAATAACTTTTATAAAAAAGATTCAATTTGTTTTAAACTTTGAAAAAATAACTTTTTGAAAAAAGATTCAATTTTCACTTCGCAAAAATTAGATTATTGAGGAATTTTTAATTTTTGAGATAAAATAACTTTTTTAAAAAAGATACAATTTGTTTTAAACTTAAAAAAAAAATTGATTTTTGAGAAATTTTAAATTTTTGAGGAAAAATAACTTTTTTAAAAAAGATTCAATTTGTTTTAAACTTTGAAAAAATTAGATTTTTGAGAAATTTTAAATTTTTGAGAAAAAATAACTGTTTTAAAAAAGATTCAATTTGTTTTAAACTTTGAAAAAATAGATTTTTGAGAAATTTTAAATTTTTGAGAAAAAATAACTTTTTTAGAAAAGATTTAATTTGTTTTAAATTTTTGAAAAAAATATATTTTTGAGAATTTTAAATTTTTGAGAAAAAATAACTTTTTTAAAAAATATTCAATTTGTTTTAAACTTTGAAAAAATTAGAATTTTGAGAAAATTTTAAATTTTTGAGAAAGAATAACTTTTTTAAAAAAGATTCAGTTTGTTTTGGACTTTGAAAAAAAAATAGATTATTGAGAAAAAATAACTTTTGGAATTTTTTTTTTATTTTGAAATGTTTTGGATTTCTTTTACTTTTTTTACTTTCCCAAAAATTTAGTCAGTTGTTCATTTTGCCAATACAAGAAAATGTTTTTTGAATTATTGAAATCAAAACGGCTGGACCTACCTTTGCCAAAAACTAATCAGCACATCTCCTTATCTATAGGAATCGAATTCTTATTTTTGATTTTTGGCCCATTACTAGAACTACCCTATGAGAAGTTAAAAAACTGCATTGAAATATTATGAACCCTTAAAGAAATATATGTATATTTCTAAATTATCCTGAAACCAAAAGCCCTTGTTTAAAATAAAAGAAAAAAATTAATAAACAGATGTTTATTTGTTACAAAAACACATTTAATAAAGAAATTTAATTACAACTATATTATCCCATTATTTCCATAACTTCTTGATGGACATATTCTTCTCCGAATCCTTCTGCATAACCTTAGCCACCGCCATTTCAAAATCTTCTTGTGTAACATGTACCCTGCGTTCCCTCAAAGCATACATTCCAGCTTCCGTACACACTCCTTTCACCTCAGCTCCAGAAGCACCAGGCATGAGCTCAGCAATCTTGCGCAGGTTAATTCCTCTAGTCAAATTCATTTTCCTTGAATGAATTTTCAAGATATCTAAACGAGCTTCCTCATTTGGTGGTGGGAATTCAATTTTCCTGTCAATGCGACCAGGACGGAGCAAAGCTGGATCTAAGATGTCAATACGATTGGTTGCCATGATTACTTTGATGTTTTTAGTCGCTTCAAAGCCATCCAGTTGGTTGAGAAGTTCCAACATAGTACGTTGCACTTCAGAGTCACCACCGCTGCCTGATTCTATACGTGATGAACCGATAGAATCAATTTCGTCCATGAATATGATGGAGGGTGCGTGTTCTCTGGCCATGACGAACAATTCACGCACCATACGGCTGCCTTCACCAATGAATTTTTGTACGAGTTCTGAGCCTGAGACTCTGATGAAAGTACATTCTGTGTGATGGGCTACAGCACGGGCTAACAGGGTTTTACCAGTACCAGGGGGGCCATACAATAACACACCTTTAGGTTGAGCAATACCCAAAGCATCAAACAATTCAGGGTGTTTCACTGGCAATTCAATTACTTCTTTAATTTCTTTGATTTGCTTGTCTAGACCACCAACCATTTCGTAAGTTGAATCTGGGACTTTCTCAACCATCATAAGAGAGACTAAAGGATCTACTTTATTAGGTAGAATTTTGTGTAAAGTATAGCTTTCATTACGCAGAGCTACACGACAGTTTGGTGTAACATCATTGATATCAATATTCTTATCCAAGTCGACAACAAATTTACCTTCAGGGTGTACTTTGACTAAAACCTTCTTCTTGTCCATGGGCTTTACAACTTCTCCAACGTAGCTACCTTGTTCTTGCAAAAGTTGGAGTTCTTCCCTTAGCATTCTTACTTTAGAATTGAGTTCGTTTCTTTGGGCTTGCAGACGTCGCAAGTTTTGACTTTTTTCAGCAACGACCAACTGCAACTCCTCTATTTTAGTGATATAGTAAGGGCGAAAGCCCTCACCGCGATCTACGTCCATCTTATTAGGCACCGTCATGATTAAATTAATAATAGTTGCACTTTAGTAAAGCAAAATGTGTAGTGTTTGTTTTATAGAACTTTTTGCATTACGGATATAAAAACCGGTGAGCCGGTTCGGCACAAAGCACTAAAAACAATGGAATTAAATTTATTCTCGCTTATTATATTTTGAAAAATAAAATGATGCACAAAAACTATGTGGAAAAATGACAAATCATGCAAAACTTGTGTGCAAGTTTGGATTGGATATGTCGATGCTGGCAACACTGTTTGACACGCAGAGTGACGTGAAGTTATCACAAATGACAACTCGAATATAAGGCGCGAAAATAAAGAAATTCAAATATTAATATTGTTTGGAATAAATATTAATTATATTTAAATAAATAGCATATTAACAAGTGAGATTTATTTACATACCGAAAAAACAATAAAAATATAAAACTATGGTTATTATTTAACGTTTTGGCATGTCATGCTTAAAATCTATTGAACAAAACTGATATTTTAAAATGCTCCTGCGGCATAACATTATTTAATATTGATTAAATAAAATAAAAATTGTATCTTTCTTAATAATTATAATTTGTCAGGTGTAATACTACACAGTTTTTAAAAAAATAAAATTATCTACTACTCAGCACTTAATTTTATATGTAAAATTTTAATGAGTATATTAATTTAAAATTGTATAAAATTAATAAAAATAAAAAAAATGTCATATAATATATATATATATATATATATATATATATAAGTTAATTTAAATTTTTCTGGTTCTAGTTGTGATGAGATCTTAAATTCATGTTAAATTCCTTGTTGAATATTTTTCCATACAATATTATCTAAAAAGAATTTATTTAATTATCTATAGATGTTTTTAATTAGATAATTCATATATTAATAAATCAAAAATATGTTACCGTTTAAATAAATATATCAATTATCACTAAATAAATTAAATCTATAAATTAAAATCTTATCAAATTTGAATAAAATCAGATGTTCATGGCATGACTTTCAATAAATTTTGCAAATTATAAATTTTTTATCAATGTCTGCAGATAATCGGTATTATTAAAATATTATCATTTAATATTTAGGTCGTTATGAAAATTAGCATTTGATTTAATCTGTAAAATAATTTTATTACATATTGCAAATGCTTCGAAATCATATGAAATTTTTACTCGTTTTTAATAGAAATAAAATGTTCAGGCAAAAATAAAGACTGACCTGGTATCCTAACAGTTTAGCTGAAATTAGAATGAAAAATCTTAATAAACCTATCTATTTAGATCCTTCACTATCTATGTAAATGTTTAGATCCTATATAAATCCTTAAATTCAACTATTTAGCCAATCTACATTTTTTATTTTATATACTAATATCACCATAAAGTGATGCATCATTGGATAAAGTTCTGAGATTTAAACACATGATACTTCATTTAGATTTAGATTTAGAATGATACTTCCTTTATGATTTTATGGCAAACTAAATAAATTCAAAAACAGAAGAATTGTAAAAGTGTTCAAATATCCGTTGACTTATTTTAAGTCAAACTATAAGTATCAAATTTTTTACTGCCTATAAAGAATTGTATTATTGGATGTAGTTTCTTAGATTTTTTTTTACTTTCTGAATGCCTGATAAAATGTAGGTCTGGTGTGCAAAATGGACGTTTGATGTACCTAGAGATATAATGAAATATTTTCCTTTTATTAACTTCCCGTAGGGTAAGTTATAGTAATCGCAAAAAAATCGAAAATGAAAATTTTTATATATCTTTACGTTTCAGAGGTTTCTAAATATTTTGGCATACCTTAGAAAAAATGGATGTATGTGTGTGTGTGTGTGTGTGTGTGTGTGTATGTATGTGTGTGTATGTATGTGCGGATACAAATTTTCGTCGACGATTTCGGGAACACGGATCAACCGATTTGAATAATTCAAAAAACATTCGATTTGTACTGATAAGGAGACGTGCTGATTAGTTTTTGGCGAAGTTAGGTCTAGCCGTTCCGAAGATACGGGGCAAAAAGTGCCGAAAACGGTAACTCAGTTTTTAAGAGAACGGAGCGTCCGATTTGAATAATTCAAAAAACATTTTACTTGTATTGGCAAGATGAAGAGTTGA